TGGTATCCACTAGTTGGGTGAAATCATAGCCCTCTAGGGTCATTATGTTTCTCAACGAATTTTAACCTCATAAGTGATCAGTTTACAGAGTCAAATTAAGAGCTGGTGAAAACACCATCACATTAATAAAATAAGAAAATTTCTAAGAAAATCTAAATTCCTGAGCATGCATCTATTTCATTGCAAAAGTAAAGTAAAATAAAGATAATTACATAAGTAGTAAAAGGATTGATAAAATTAAGTAATAAATTATGTGTCAACAACGAACATATATCTACCTACCCTCTTTCGAATGTGTAAGCTTAGTAATCTAGTTGTTTTACGTAATTATCTATCACCTAGAAGCATCTAATAAAAACTAATCATTAGATTATATTTCCTTAAAAGTTGCATTGCCATCTAACTATTTTACTAGCCAACCGTACATTGTCAGTGCACTCAAGTTGCAAGATCACTACTCTTCTGAGTCTTAGTTTCACTTACAATAAATTTTAAAAAAACTTATTGCCATTTAACTTATGTTAATAAAGCAAAGGCGATATTACTCATTACATGAAAATAAAAATAATTCTATCATAAAACAAATTTTCTACACATGCCACTACTTAATATTAAAAGAAAATAGTAAAGAAAACTACTTACGAAGCATGGATAAAACACAATAGGAAACTAACAGAAAACTTTGTGTAAATTAAAGAAAATCCACTAGAAATTGTTTATAACAATTACAAGGAAATGAAAAACATAATACTTAGCTTTTTCCCTCTGAAAGAAAGAAGAAAAGTCTCTCCAACAAAGTCTCCTGTCAATCCATGCGCCGCTCATACTTCCTTGCTCATATATCTCAAAATCCCTCACCAATCTCTTCAGAAAATGAAGAAATATACATCTCCATAAACTCACATCAAAATCCTCCTAAAACACTTCCTAATTACTTCTCTAGACTCCTCTAAGTACTTCACATGAGCAGCGTCAAGCCCCTCTAATTAAAGAGGAGCCAAACACCTCCTTTTTTCAAAAGACATACCCCTTCATCCAAGAGACACACCCTTTCACTCCAAGAGAGACATGTCTTCATAAAAAAATATTTTCTAAGTGTCTAGATTTATTGAATCTCTCCATGGGGTGTGCAAGTTTTCCAAAAGCTTCCAAAACATCCCAGAATGGTCCAGAATCGCCTAAAATTCGTCCAATAACTATCCCGGACGCTATAGCGCCAGTCTGGGGCTCTATAGTGTCAGTCTGGGGCACTGTTGTGCTAGTGTTTGGCTCTATGGTGCCATTCTAGATGTGATAGCACCACCCGGCGTGCAGCTCCACTGATTTGCCCCATTTTGCTCCGTTTCAGCCCCTTTTTCCCCCTTTTCGGCTCCGTTGCGCTCCAGATTGGTATACCTACAAGGTAGTCATGAAAATAACCTTTCTTTAAAGTGTAATTTTTTTCAAAAAGATGGAATAAATATGAAGGAGATTAAGCATGGAAAGTCATATCGACATGCGCTTTATTAGAATTTTCTTTTTTGCACAATCTGGCTCTAAATTGCACCATTTTTGCTTCATTTTTACCAAAAGTCCATTTCTTGTACCTAAAGACAAAAATATGAAAAATACCTTCCTTTAAATTGTAATATCATTAAAAATTTGCATAAAATGACCATGAAATTGTGTAAGATGAGCATGAAATGTACACTAAAAAAAGATAATTTTTAAGTAGATCATTTATTTATCTGATGATCAAACATCTTTCAAAACTAGAGGGACAGCTTATACATCATCAATATTTTTTATCATTCTATAGAAATCTTGATACATATTTTGAATAAGAAATATTTTAAATTGAAATTATAGATCATACAGGTCCCTTATTTCAATAAATTTTTAGTCAAACTGATTGTCTCGATAAGATGAACTTAATGATACCAATAATAGTTCAATTTGAGTCCAATCAAGTCCAGATAAAATAATTAAAGCTTATTTAGAAGCCTTAGATCATCAACAGAATGGTCAAATGAAATCTATATTTGACATACCTATAGTCAAATCAACTATCATGTTGAGTGGAATCTTTTAAGATCATTAAAGTCATTAAATCATTAAAAAATCCTATGATCGAGAGGAAGGGGGATTAATATGTGTCATCTGATTAGTTAGTGATGGGAGTTAATTTTTCGAATGATTAACATGTTTATTCTATAGAGACTATAAATAAACCCCTCTCTTTACTTAGAGGGAGGAGAGGAAGGAGTTAAATTTCAATGTTATTATGGATTGATGACCCCGCTGAAACTCCCAATCTATGTAGCTTTTGAACATCATCAACCACTGCCTGCAAGTGACCATTGATCATTATTGGCTATCCCTACGCACCAAATTTAGCTAACTACTATTTAATGATGTATCCTAAATACAATATAACGACATTTCCTAATTACAACGTAACGCCATATCTAGAATATAGTGTAATGATGTATCCTTAATGAGATGTAATGACCCTAATTCTAACAATTTATTCTAAATACATTGCAATGAATAATATCGTATTAAAATCCCAGTAATAATTCCTCGTGAAAACTGCTTATAACTGTTAATTCAAAATATGTTGGCTTCTTCCAGACTCTTGAAGTTTTCTAAAAGTTGTATATTGATAAGTACTATCTCTTTTGTAAAATAGTAAACCCGAGAGATTGATGTAGCATCAACTATGATCCATATGACTAATTATGACTTATGTCGTTAAATATTACTATAACTTTTAACTACAATCTATGTAGCCATTTTACCCTAATACAACTACCAACTATGGTCTATGTGAACTACAATCTATGCGGCTAACTACTATTGTAACTTCCAATTATGACCTCTATGGCCAACTATAGTTAGCAACTATGACCTATATGGCTAATTACTAATGCAGATTCCAACTATAAACTATGTGGCTATCTAACATTACTACAACTACCAACTATAACTTTTGTGACCAATTACAACATATATGACTAACTATTACCACAACTTTCAACTACGGCCAATGTAGCTAACTACAACTGCAGATACCAATTACGAACTATGTGACCAAGGAGAACCTATGTGATTAACTGCTACTATAACTTCCAACAACTGGTTATGAGGCTAGTTGTTATTGCAACTACTAACTACGGTTTATATGATCAACTATAACATATGTAGATAACTTCTACCCGAGCTTCCAGTTATGGCTTATATGTTAACTTAATACTACTACAACTACCAACTATGACTTATGTGATCAACTATATTCCATATGACTAAATACTACTGCAAATTCTAATGCTACTGTAGCTACCACTATGACATATGTAACAAATTATGACCTATATGGCCAACTTTTACGATAACTTCTAAATATGGTTTATGTGGCCCAGTGATGCAATTGTATTTACCAATCATGATTAATGTGATTGAATATGGTCTATGTGGCTAACTGCTACTATACCTTCCAACTATAATCTCCAATTACAACCTCTATAACTAACAGACGCTACTATAATTACCAACTACAACTTACATGGGTAGCTGTTACTACAACTGCCAACAATGGCCTCTATAGGTAACTAGCGCTATTTCAACCACCAACTACAACCTCTATGGTCAGCTGATGCCGTTACAACATCTAATTACAACCTCTGTCGATAACTTACATTACTGCAATCATCAACCACGACCTCTGTGGCTGACTGACATTATTACAGCTTCCAACTATGGCTTTTGTAGCCAACTGATGCATCAACCATTAACTATGGTCTCTATGGCCGACTGATGTTATTTCAACTTCCAAATACACCTCTGTGGTCAAATGAGGCTATTGCAATCACCAACTTCAATATCCATAATGAACTAACGCAACTACAACTTTCAACCATGACCTCCCTAACCAGTTGATGTCATTATAGTCATCTACTATGACTTATATGACCGATTGATGCTATTAAAACTTTGAACTACGAATTTTTTGGTCATCACTATTACAACCATCGCTTAAGACCTTTGTGACCAACTGTAACTATTACAGCCATCAACTACAACCTCCATTTTCAATTGTACATGCTGTAGCTATAACTAAATTACTATTGTACATATGTGATTATCAGCTTTGTAATTATATACTATCTAATTTAGGAGGAGAGTTCCTATATACTTACCATTATATAATATATTATTGATTGGCCTAGGTCCCATGTTTTTTTTTTCATTTCTAGGGGTTTTAAAATTTTAGAGTCTTCTTATACTACTTTTCAATTATTATTGTGTGTTGGGTTTTCGTGCAATGTTAAGATGTTAAATTATCATTTCACCACTATGAATCTTTCGGCATATAAAAAAATTGTTAAAAACACATTAAACAAACATATTATTTAAAAACTAAGGAATTGATAAAAAAGAAAATTGATCCCGAACAAGCCATTAAATATTTAAGATCAACCTTTAATTTAGTTCATTTCTATATATTTCAAGATCATGAAATTCAAATGTACATTTTAATAGATTACTATTGAACATTGCCACTAGCCAACTATCCAATCAAAGACCATCACTCACAATCTCTATTTGTGTTCCTCCACTCCTGATCACTATTCTCATCACCTGCCGCTGTAAATCACTACCCACATTATTGACAGCCAGTCGTCAACCCCTTAAGAAATTGTTATTCAAAAAATATAAAAAAATACTAGGGATAAATTATACTGCAATCTAAAGACAAAAAATCAATTCTAATACAAATAAAATATGATAAAAATATAATTAATTTAATTTGTATTATGTTTACATCAAAATTAGACGGTTCCAAAAAAAGTGGATGTCTAAAAACATTTAAGTGGGTCTCTGGGAAGTGGAAAAATTTACCTACATAACAAGAGAGGTTACAAAAAGGTTATATAGATTTTAAAATGTGTTATACTAATATTACCACCCTATAACCTCCCTCCGTACACGCAAATTTTTCAAGCGGCACTTTGGACATAGAGGATCATATTCTTCTGGTTTACTTGAAGTAGCGCGCGTCAAGGTTACCTGGTTTTTCCTTTCTCTGGCTTTGGTCATACGCGAGCATTGGCAGCTCTAACCCAAGCGGCATCAGGGTTTTTTCCTTCTCCGTGGTGCTCTTCGGCCGAGCCTTCATATGGGCACATTCCTTTTGCCCTCGTCATCCTCTCGCTACTCCATTCTACTTGATAGAATTCTTCAAAAATCTAGCTTTAGGGTTTTCGCCCCCTTCCGCTTTGATTTTTCGAACACAAGTCTCCTCCTTTCCGAGCCTCGGCGTCGACGCCTACCTCTTTCCACCAATCAAGCCGCTCAATTCTCTCGCCTGGAGGATGGAGGAAACGGTGTTCCCCCCACTATTTTCACAGCAAGTAAACCCATTTCCACCTCCTAAAGTTTGTAAAATTGTTTCCCTTTTTAACTACTTTATGCTTGAGGGCTCTTATAATTGTTTTCTGTTAATTAAGGTTGTGTTTTGCGCTGTTAATCTTTTTATTTTTCTTAAAAGTTAGCTTTTTTTGTGTGTGTACGTTTCGGGATTATTTTCCCTGTTCGTTACTTTGATTTATTTCTATCTGAATTCAGTTTCGGAGGAAGGTCGGATTGGAGAAGTTAAAAGAGTCACCAAGGAAACAAATGTCCATGTAAAGCTGAACTTGGATGGCTCTGGAATTGCTGACTGCAGCACAGGGATCCCATTTTTAGACCATATGCTTGATGTGAGTAATTGTTGGCTACTATATTCTGATTTTGCTTTTAAATGGACCCCTTATTTTGTTTTTTTGCAAGTAACATATATGTGGAAGGTTGGGTGGGACACCACACTTTTAGAGAAGGTTCTTATGTTAGATCAAGCTATTTTCAAACATCTTCATCTTTAGCTTAATGATTTACAGTTTATGGTTTGTTAATATTATCCCTTTTCTCTGAACGTTGAAAAAAATGTAGTGCGTTTGTCTAGGAACTTCTTGATTCAGGAAGATGTATTTTTTTTTATTGAAGATGCACATATGATACAGTTTGAAAACAACGTATGATTGGCATTTGTTACTCTGTATATAATCCCATGACTTGTTCTCAATGAATTCTTTCAGGTAGCGACCACCATAAGGAATTTCTCAGTTTATAGATGATAAGACTCTTTAACATCTCTCAAATTTCCCTCGTACTCTCGAATTGGTCTCCATTCGATTCTCCATAGAAGAGAACCTATCATCTGTGGTGACGAGCCTTTCTTCCATTTCAGATCTGATTTGACTTATTTCTTCCTTCAAATTCTTCTCTAAATCATATACATTCTTGGTTTCCATTATTTCTTGTCATTGTCACTAGGGCACGCTCGATTTTGGATCCGGTCACTAACTTCTAGGATCCCAATTAGGGCATGCGCGATCCCGACTGTATTATCAGAAAGGTGCGATCCCGATGCAAGGTACACACTTGATCCTGTCTTCTGCACGTGATCCCACAAGGTACGCATGTGAAAGAGATTCAAGGACGAGGGTCCCTATAAACCGCAATCCTTCTCGCGGAGCCTTCCTCGCTAGCTCTGATCGCAACTGTATGCAAAGATGTTGCCATGGATTTTGCGATCTTAATGCAAAGAAAGATGAGAGCTTTGAATTTGTAAGCTGCGAGCCCGTCGTTGCTATGTGCGATAGAGGTGGGCGAGGCGAATGCATGCAACTAGCTTAGTCGCGACTGTATCATCTTTCTGCAAGAGATTCAAGCACGAGGGCATGCCGAAAGTCTAGAGTGAGTGCTAAATCTCTGTCGAGTCGATTGATCCTCTCGTTTCCTATCTCTCGATCGCTCCCTTCAAGGACCTCTGTTTTCTTCAACTTCCATCTAATCAATCCTCTCTTTTGTGATTCATTTCCAGAATCTTGAGCTCTGATACCAATTTGATATGATCCGATCTCAAAATCGGTAGGTTTTTCCACAAAAATTAGGGCAACACAATATTTCTTTAATAAATCAAACAACTCAACAAGAATGTAAAGATAAACTCCTATAGTTCGAGAGGTGGGTGATCTCTCCCAATTCCTACAATTCGAGAGGTAGGAAATCTCTTTCACACCTAAGACTCACAACTTAATCTTATGCATATACTTAGCCCTACACCTAACAAGCTCCCAAATTCATCACCGCAAATGCTTCAAGTGCCACGGTTTTAGCCACATGGTGTTTAATGCCCAAATTGGAGAACGATCTCTTTCATTGAGCATGGAGCAACTGAAGAAATGGATAGCGACTCAAGAGAGGATGAAGCCTTCAAGGAGGAGTCTCAACTTTCAGTCGACAAGGAAGAGGCGTCAGTGATTCATGTTGAGCCCATGAGAGAGATTCCAGTTGGATTAACATTAGTTGTTCTAGAAGGTTGTGAGTTCGAGGTAATGAACATTCATGCAGAGTTTGAGGATATGGTGCCACAAACTATTGTTTTGTAGGAGTTAAGAGGACATCAACAAGATTGATATTGGTTGTCCAAAAGGGCCATGAGTTTGAGAAGCCGATAATAGACACAAGGCAATCTCAAATAAAAGAATTTCGGAATTTTCCGACATATAGTCTAACCTCTTGAGTTGCACTACTAAGGTGGGAGATGAGAAACTTTTGAGCTATTTATGTAAAACTATATGGAATAATTTGAGTATTAAATTTAGTTCATAAGTGCACCCATCGACAGATGGTCAAACTTGAGAGAAGAACCATAGCGTTGGAAATCACCTTAGGAATTTTGCGGGAAAAAATATCCTACGGTGAGATCTAGGTTCTTTCAGAGAAAAAGAGGTCTCTTTTGAGTGATTCTCATTAACGGTTGTCGAGCTTGTCATAGATTTGGTTCGAGAATTAGTTCCTCCAAATAGACTTACTTATTAGATACACCCGACCAAGTATGAAGAGTTGGAGATGTAGGCTACATTTTTAAGGGCTGGAGGCTTAGCTCAGGAAAATATTTGTCTACACACAATTCCAACTCTGGTTTTGCCAAGAAAGTATGATTATTTAATCTATCATGATAGACTTTAGAATTACATGTGTATTTTAGAGCTTCTTGAAATAGACTTTAACATAGATTTTGTAGTGGGACTACTTTTGACACAACAAGACGATTTTTTATGGTGATGATCGATTTCGGAAGCTTCCTGTGATGAAGGCAAGACTTTCGTAGCCAAAGAGAATGACGCTGGAGCAAAATCACAAAACCATGAAAAGGGGGCATCCGCAATCCCATCGTGGAATTATCGTGATTTCATCACGGGATTTCAGTGACCATGGCCTTGGCAGCCACCTAAGCTTCTTACTTCAGCCTTTTTGACTTTTGATTTATTTCCTATTTTTCTTATTCCTAATTAGGGTTTTGCTCAAGAGGCTATTTGTGTTGTTATTTTCTAGGTTTGAAAGAATTTTTGGTTATTGCTATTGTATTCGGAGATGTTTTATCCTGGTTTTATCTGGTGGAGTGATATTTCTTTTAATTTCTCTCAGATAGTGTGCTTGTAGCCTGATAGGATCAATGTAGTGATCTCCCCCCTATGTTTGGAGGTCTCCTTTAAGATCTAATTGGCTGCCTACTGCTCTTTGACAGCAGAAAATAGTCCTTTATCCCGTTTGGTTTGATGTCCAGCCACTCAAACTCAGGCCCAACTGCTATTCCACAGCATATTTTGCTCCCAACATCCTTCCCAACAGCATTGACTACTCTGTTAACTTTCCAACCATTCTAGAACCACCTCCTAACAAACTCCACTTCTAAAACTCCATTTAGACGCCCTAGAAAAGTGTCATGTAACTTATATTGTTTATGTCTCATTTGATGAGCTGGATGATGGGGAATAAAATTGCCAAGGAAAAAAGTTGATTATGTGACTCAAATTGGAGATAATCCTTGGGCTAACTGAATGGATAACACATTTTGAAATTGTTTAAAAAGGAATTAACTTCTTTTAGGAAATGTTCTTCATCTTGATTTCCTTACATGACTACGAGAGTATAAGTAGATGCTGCTTCGTGCATAGCATTTAGGCACGTCGGTTTGGAAGCTATCATATTAGTTCTATCATTTTTATTAATGTCTTTTTTCGTGGCCATTGTTTGCACTTTCTTATCTTCATAGCCTATCATACAAGCGCTTGTAAGACTTCATGGATAGTTTGCCTATTATACTGCCATGGTTGTTCAAAATGTAAATGATGGGCATATCAGATCACACCAAATCTCTTCTATTTTTTTTCTATAGAAAATTGTACAAAACATCGATTTTTTCATTTTGATTTTATTCCCTTTTTCAAACCAGGATAATTTCTAAAGTGTATATTGTATAGCAGGTACCATTTTTATAGACCATCTTCACGATTCCTCCCTCAATAATAACAATACACAATACACATTTTTCTCTGCATTGTACCACTATATTGAAAGATATTATGTAGAAGCCATTCAGACTTTTAATCTATAATAACGTTCAAAATTCTTTTAACAATAAGTTCTCCATATTATCAGCATGTTCGTCAACAAAGTTATGTGCTTCTTCTACTTCATTTTCATCCTCATAGTGAAATTTTTTCAACCATGACAGATTGGGTCATTTTAATGCCATGTATCCAAGCTTTAAATATCAAAAGCATATTAGAAGTAATTTCTTATTATAAAAAAATGCTAATTTGATTTTTTGTTTATGCTTGTGAATGAATGGGAGGATTATCTTTAGGAGTAATTAGTGGTTTGTTTTCGTGATTTTTGTTTTCTGCAGTTTGAGTTGCTTATCTAGCCTAAAAGAAAATTCTTTAGTATTGGGTTATTATCGATCTACCCTTAGAAGTAATTTGATGAAATTCAATTACTTCTAATACCATTGTAATAATACGGCATTTGCAATTGCAAGATGCAAACCATCGATGAATCATATAATAATATGCCCCCTTGATTCTACCACATCACATTTCAATATCAATTCTTCAAATAGAGTCGCATGTTCTTCTGTGGATAAACCTCTTTGTTGAAAATTATGGAGTTTGATAAAAGCATCTTGCCGACAAATTCCTTTTCTATAACTTTTTTTTTTTTAATTTTTTCTCATGTTACGCACTTGCTTTTACTCTCTAGTCATTGTCACCTAAGATTCTTCCCCCAAATGGATGCATTATTTTTTAAAACGAGAGTCACTAATTTAACGTGCCTATCTGACATATGTCTTCATGGTCAAAGATGCACTCTGGTATGCATCCAATCAATGGTGTCATCGGGATTTAATTTACTCTCGAAATTCAGAATATTTACTTAAATGCCACAAATTTTTTAATGTTTATTGGCTACTTATTGGGTAAGCTTTGTTCTCCAATGCACTTGGCAAATTTTTGATCAAGCTTACTCTTTAATCCGTATTAACATGAATATTTGATAAATAACCAAGTATTTTCAGGTGAGATAGATTTACCTCATTGCCACTTTTACTTTTTTAGATAAACCTTTATTTAAAGGTACCGACGGACCATAATTGATCGGATAAACTGCATTATTCATTGCTTCGGCCTAGAACTGCTTTGGCAAACCTGCATGCAAGCTCATACTCTTCACACACTCTGTGATAATTTTATTCGTGCACTCAGACATATCATTTTGTTGTGATGTCCTCAGAACAGTGAACTAATGCGTGATTTCTTCTGAAGTATAATAATTTCTGAACTTTTGACATGCCACTTGTCACCATTATCCG